GAATCTTAGGGCAGGTCAAAACAAATGAGGGCCTAAAAATAGCCCAGGGCCTAAGAATAGCCCTCCGTTTCAGGCTGGAAAAACTCTGGGTCTGAAAGACCCAGAAATAGGCTGAAACGGAGTAGGGCCTGCAGGCCCTCGTTTTTCAGTTTTCAGGCTGAARCGACCGGGGCCTGTAGCTCCTAAGTTTTAGGCTTTAAGGCTGAATGTCCGGGACGGGTCCTACAGGGCCCGTGTGGCTACGCAGTCTGCCACACTTACCCTGTGGATGTGCACTTACCCCACGGTACTTGCTGAGTTGTTTGTCTACTCTTTCTGCATTGAGTCTCTTCTGTCTTAGGTGCTAGAACTCTGTGGATGAAGGATAGGGCCTTGCTGCCAAACCTACACGGGCTTAGTAGGACCAAAGCTCTACTCTGGCACTTGGAGACCTGGGCATGAGCGGCGAGCGCTCGTTAAACAACTCGTCTAGCCCAATGACCGGTACTGTCCGGCAGGTCTACTGAGTTCAGTGTAGATGGTCTGAACTCCGGGCTGTAGGCTGAAACGAGGGAAGTCTTTAAGTGTTGAGGCCTGGTTGAGCCACTCCCCTACCGCACCTATTACAACTGATGATCTGTGTCTGACGACTCGACTGTCCCGAGGGAAACGAACCCCTCCAAGGACCGGTACAGACCGGCGGGCTGCTCGGTGTGGCACAATAGGCTGGAACGGCTGAGTTGTGGGCTGAAATCGCCAGGAAGAACCAAGCTGATCACGTCGTCCTGTCAGCGACGTTAAAAAATTCTTGAGGAGTTACGGGGGATCTCCTTAAATGACTCCAGATCAGCTTTTGGTTCAGTAGTGACAGCCTTAGAATAAGTCTTGGGTTAGTGACCATAGTTGACAGGGTCTTACCCTGTGGTCCTTAGGAAGTCGGTCAGTAGGTTTGTGTCCAGGTAGGTCCAAGTGGTGAGGAGTGGGACCTCTGTCGTGCACCTGACACCACCATGGTAGACACCCGGCGCGACACCTCCACTATGCCGTACACAAAGGAGGAGGTGGCGAAGATGGCCGCCATCCTGCAGGAGAGAAAGGAGAAGAAGAAGGCCTTGAAGGAGGAGCAGGCGGCCAAATTGAAGAAGATGGAAGAAGAGATGGCCAGGGAGAAAGAGAGGTTACAGAAGGAAGAAGAAGAGACACTGAAGGCGGTGGATGAAGAAGAGGACGGTCCGCCACTGCAAAGGAGTAGTGGGCAACCCAGTAGTAGTACCGGTGGAGACCTGGAGAAGAGGATATCTGAATGGGTTGCCAACCTGAATGTGGGAGAAGAGGAAGAGGTTAGTATGTATATCCCGCAGGATCAGCAAGAAGCTGCCATGAAGGCTTGGGATGCAGAGAAAGACCCTCTTAAACGTCAAGCGTTGGAAGACGAGAAGAGGATGGAATGGAAATTAGCGGTGATGAGGGAGAAGAAGAGGAGAATTGACAAGGCAGCGGAGGCGGAAGAGGCCTTGGAGGAAGTGAAGAAGATAGAGGCACAATTAGCCGCCCAGCCCGATCTCCCGAGTCAGATGCGAGTCATAGCTCGGAGCGTCGCATGCCTGGCACAGGTTCAGGCAGACCAATATGACTTTAGCAGAAGTCAAGACATAGCTGTGCGCTCGATACGGTTGGGCTTTCGAGACTTTGCTCGTGAGCTGGTAGGCGTCGTTGGAGCCGAGGTGGGTGACCGCCTCGACAAGACTGAGCAGTTCTGCGCTGACGCCATTGAAGGCGTCAAGGCGGCAGCTCCCAAGGAGGAGGAAGCACGTCCTCCTCGCCGGGAGCCTGTCAAAGTCAAGTTTCCCGATTCCTACAGTGGGAAGAGGGAGGAAAACTTTGACAATTGGGAGGCCAACGTTAAGACCTAAATGCACTTGCAACAGGTCTCCCCAGATCAGCAAGTCCTAATTGCTATCCACGCGCTGAGAGATGAGGCCGCCAGTTTTGCAAGGTCCCTAGTTAGTGCTGCCAACTGTAGTGATGATCCCGTTGCGTACTCCTCATTTATGTCCCTCACCGAATTTCTGAAGTTGCTGCGCGAGCGATTTGCTGATGTCGCTCGC